GGGGGGGGGGGGGGGGGGGGGTGCTCCAACCCCCAATAATTTTCACAAGCCGGCCCCAGTCGGCAAATTTCTTCGTTAGTGTTCGGCAAATTGCGAAATCGGCATTCAGCAAATTGTAAAAGTTAAGAACGAATGCGATAAATAAAGCGATAAATTTTGGATTTAAAATAATGGTTTGTGTGGTCTTATGTCAAAACCATTTAAATGTATTTCTATTTTCTAGTAAAACTATTAGTCTTTTATTTGTCGAAAATCGACGGGAGGCTGAAATGTGAAACCCACGTTTCCGGGCATGTTCTTCGCTCGACTGCTCTTATAGCGAAGGCTTTTTATCAATTATGTGCGGTTCAAAACTGCCCAAAAGAAAAAAAATAAAACTTTAGTGTCTTGAATGTAATTCGGTTTTTGACGACTATAGAAACTTTATTATTTATTTCACGAGGGAAAACGTATTAACCGGCATAAAAGTTATCTAACATACTGCCCGACGATTACCGTAAGAGGCACGAGCAAACTTGCCATAAGGGAAACCAAGTGCGAGTAGCACATAAACTGACTCTTCCACAGTCCCTAACACTGCTTCTAACGCAAAGGACCATGGGAATGCCCCGAGGCGTAATCAGCGCGCGTTGGGTAATTCAACGCGCGTTAGGTAAGCGACTGGGGACGAGTCAGGCACATAAAGACGTACCAGCTAATCCGTTTGAGACTGCAAACCGCAGTCAAAGCCAAAGAGAATATTTTGAGTCGTCAGAGGCGCAAGATCCTCAAGAAGACCCCACAGGCACCGATGAGAAGAAGACCAAGAGAAAGACGAGGCATGCCATAAGAATGGACTTGTCTTCTTTAGTTCTTTAGCGAAATTACTGTTAACTCTTATCAGCCTACAGTTTTGAAAGACATACCGCATACAGCGATCGGTATCATCGATCGGTTGCATATGATCATATCCGTTTTACTCGCTTTCTGACGCATAAAATTTAATTAAACTCTTGAAAAATCGGGTCGTACAAAAGCCCAGTTAACACTATCCGGCACTAAGAGTTTTAAGACTGCTCAAAATACAAAAATATTATAAATTGTCTATTCGGCGCCTGGGGATAAAAAAGGTCAAATTCATCAAAATTCATCAAAATTCGGTTTTTGGTTGTAATGCGTTAATTTCTGAAACTGAAAGTACCATTTTCACGTACGGTTCTGTTCACACGAAAACGTATGAAAACGACGTCAGGAAGCAAAAACGTTTCAAATAGTGAAAACGATGCCAAAGATTCGTTCTCTATGTCTGAAACTTTTGGTCGTTTTGACACTTTGTTATTGTGTAAACAGAAAAGTAGAAGGCTAAAATGAAATTCCGTGTTTAAATTGGGAAACGAAGACTATAAAAAACTAGTGCTTTATCTGAAAATGTTGCGAGAAAAACGATCAATGTGAACAAGGCGCCTAAACGCTAAATTTGAAAACGGCACTGCAAAAACGCTCAAAAACGTGACCCATGTGCACATAGTTTCAGTCTCGATTTAGGACTTATGAAAACACAGTATAAATTTATGGTAAATTTAAATTTTTTTCAGCTTTATATGTTTAATATAAATAAATTAAAATAATACTCCTATGTGAAAACAAACGCACGAAAATAAAATAGTGCTAATCATTGAGCTGTGGTTGCAGTTATTGCAATTGTGTTTTTCGATTTCGTGACCATATATTTGTTTGTTCTTAGAATGTCGTATTTTATATATAAAGCAACCCGATTCCTTTTTAGCAACAACCCACGAACAGGCATCCATATTTCAAAACAAGAGCCATATTGGTGTCCCTCAGTTACTAGCACACCAATATGATTCTCATTACCTATACAAACTTTTCTTCTCCGCATTACCTATACAAACTTTTGAAAAACTCGGCAAATTCAACTAACGTCACTCGGCAATTTGACCTTCGACACCCCCCCAATCCATATCCCTTCGCAACGGCCCTGCAGATGAGCATGTGCTCATGAGCAGTTATGAGCATTTGCTCATATGCTCATCGCACAAAATTGCACCCGACATGATTTTGAAAATTGAACAGAATCTATACGTAATAGTTCGGGTTTAAACGGACCTTAATGCGATGTAAAATGCGAACTCAATGCGAAGACGCATCTAATCCAAGATCGCTGCAATCTAAAATCATCGCTACATTTACATACATGCATGACGTTTTCCTTTGACTACAGTTAACAAAGGAAACAAAAAAGGAAAGAACGATTAAATGGTAAAGCACAGTCATATTGTTGGAGATTAACAATATATATATATATATATATATATATATATATATATATATATATATATATATATATATATATATATATATATATATATATATATATATATACATATATATATATATATATATATATATATATATATAATCAATGTAAGCTGAAGTTAACTGACAGTGCGCAGAATTTTGAGAACTTCTGTTAATTAACTCTGATATTCAACAGCTATATACCAAAACGTCATCAAAAAACATCGTCACTGATGGTATTATTGAAATGGCGGCTGCTGGTATCTCTTAAAAATATATGTTAAGAAACGCTGCAAAGACGATTCTGGCAAAGAAAAACCTTCACGAAATTTGGTCAAACTTTATAGAACTAAACGAACAATCCGTGATCATTACCTGCTTAACTGATACTTGCTATAAGAAGATGATTAAAGTATGGCACGAAATTATCACCCGAATGCCCAGCAATATAGTATGCTTTGCTAGGAGAGCGTTAATTTTAAGTTTAGGAAATAATTCTAATCTAAAGCGCTGGAACATTCGTGACTCCACCAACTGTGAGTTGTGCAACAAGTTACAAACCCAGCTACACATTTTTTCCAGCTGCAAGGTAGCCCTAGAACAACAACGCTATACTTGGCGGCATGACTCGATTCTGATGACTATTATTCATCACTTAAAAGTCACAATTGGTGCAGATCTTCGACTTTTCGCGGACTGTCCTAATTCAGGTACGACATGTACTTCAACTTTATTTCGAACGTTAAGACCTGACATAGTTGTGGATTTTAAGGGTTCTGTATATGTGGTTGAATTAACTGTTCCCTACGAAACCGATTGTACGAAGGCTAAACGTCGCAAGAAAAAAAGATACAGACATCTAAGATCTGAGCTGATCACGACGTGTCATGCGTTTGAAGTTATTACACTTGAAGTAACCACTCTAGGTTTTGTGTCAGAAGATATTGACAGATTTCGTAGATTATTACGATCACTTGAAATGAACGATGAACGTATTATTAAAAAATGTATGGAGGTAGCTCTGAGAGCAACATTCTACATTTACTGCAGAAGAAACAAGCCCTGGAATAACCCAGACTTACTGAATTTTTATTAGCTACTATTGATATGATATGTAGAGAATGGACCTATCTGTCTAATATAGTGAACTGTTTCTCTATTTTCCTGATTTAATTGAAAGTCTAATGTGGTATTTGTAAAAAAATTATCATGTTATTAATAAAGATTATTATTATTATTATTATTATTATTATTATTATTATTATTATTATTATTATTATTATTATTATTATTATTATTATTATTATTATTATTACATGTTTTTCACAGCTTTGTTCTTATGCTGGCTATGTTTTTTCCTTGGAAGCTGGCTACAACCAGTAGCCTCAGGTCCCAAAGATTTTAGCTTTCCAAGCTTCTTCTCAGTATTCTTGCCGTCCCTAACAATGCTGTTTTTTTGTAGAAGTTCTATTCTTATATGTATTCCCAATTTCTCAATCCACTTATCCAGTTTATTACTAACTGCTCCTAAGGCACCTACTATTATTGGAATGACTTCTACTTTTTTCATTGCCCATATTTTCCGAATTTCCTTTTCAACTCCTCATACTTTTCTACCTTCTCTGTTTCTTTTATACCAATTCTACAGTCCCCTGGAACTGCGATGTCTATGATCTTGCATTCCTTTTCCTTCTTTAAAACCACTACAATATCAGGTCTTCGACATTCAATCACATGATCGCACTGTATGTTAAAATCCCAGAGAATCTTTACATTATCTGATTCAATTACTCCATTTGGTTGGTGTTCATACCATTTTTCAGCTTTCTCTAGTTGGTACAAACCACATAGCTTCCAGTGTACAATGCGAGCCACATTGTCATGTCTTCGTTTGTATTCTTTTTGTGCTAGCTTTTTGCATTCACTTATCAAGTGTGTTATATCCTCTCCCTTTTCCCCACAAAGCCTACAGAGTGGAGACTCGACAGTTCTATCTATGTGAAACTTTACATAATTTGTCCTTAGAGCTTGTTCTTGTGCAGCACAAAGAAGTGCTTCAGTCTCAGGTTTCAAGTCTCCTTTCTTCAGCCACCACCATGTCTTCTCCCTATCCACTTCTTTACCTAAATCTCTGTTATATTGTCCATACATTTTCTTATCAATCCAAGCTTTCTCTAGCTCCTCTACTGCTTTCTTCTTAAAATTTTCTTTTGTTTCGCATCTTTCCGTTTCAATCACACCTGCCTTTGCAACTTGTTGTAAAAGTGGTTCCACACTGTTCTTTACATACCATCCCAAACTGTTCTCCTCTGTACGAATGCATCCTTCACAACTGATCAAACCTCTTCCGCCCTTTTCTCTCGGTAAATATAATCGATGAATGTCACTTCTTGGGTGAAGAGCACCATACAGTGTCATCAGTTTACGTGTTTTGCGATCCATTGCAGCAATTTCATCTTTTGTCCATTTCAAAACACCAGCTCCGTACCTCAGCAGCGCAACAGCCCAAGTATTCATCGCCATGATTTTGTTTCTGCCATTCAGTTTTGATTTCAGCACCAGTCTTAATCTCATCCCGTATTCCTTTACAAACTTTCTCTTCATTTCACCCTCCATAATTTTATCTGATTCCAGTATACCAAGATATTTATATCCATCTTCTTCTACTGACTTTATTGTTTCCTCATCAGGTAGCTGTATTCCATTACATTCCACAATCTTTCCTCTTTTCATTACAAGCATTCCACATTTCTTTATCCCAAATTCCATTCCAATGTCTTTGCTATCAATATGGGAAGTTTTCACCAGTGAGTCTATTTGCTCCTTGTTCTTTCCAAACAACTTAAGATCATCCATGAATAGAAGATGGTTGATTTTGAGCTCTTCTCCGCGAAATTCATACCCTACCTTTTCCTTTCTCAGTATCAAGCTTAATGGTATCATGCACATCACAAATATCAATGGAGATAAACTATCTCCTTGAAAAATACCTCGTCTTATATTCACATTTCCAAGACTTTCTCCCAAAGATTTAACTCCGTTTTTCAGTTCTCCATACTACTTTCCACAAACGTTCTCACATTTGCTGCGATTTTGAACATACTCATACATTCCACTATCCAAGAATGAGGTACCATATCATATGCCTTGCGATAGTCTATCCAGGCCATCGATAAATTTGTATGTCTTCTTTTATAGTCTCTTAAAACTAACTTATCAATTAACAATTGGTCTTTTGGTCCTCTAGTCTTTCTTCTACATCCTTTTTGTTCATTCGGTAGTACATCATTCATCTCCAGAAAAGTGTACATTCTTTCGGCTATCACACCTTTCATCAATTTCCACATCAATGGTAAGCAAGATATGGGTCGAAAGTTATCATCTGCATTACCCCTTGATGGGTCTTTCAAGCACAACACTGTCCTACCATATGTGATCCATTGAGGTAGTTCGGCCTTACCATTTAAAATCTCATCTAACTGTTCTGCAATCCTTTGATGACAAGATGTAATTTTCTTTATCCAATAACCCTGTACTTCATCTAGTCCTGGCGCTTTCCAATTGGGGATCTTCTTACACTGCTTTGTAATGTCTTCCTTATTTATCTTCAAATCTTTTTGGTTCAAATATCCGATTCCCTGTTTCATTTCATGTAGCCATTCAGAATCCTTATTATGTTCAATTCCATTGTCCCATATTTTGCTCCAGAACTTTATACTTTCATCCGCATCAGGTATCACTTTATCAACTTTACTTTCCTGACCAATAAATTAATAAATTATTATTATTTAATAATTATTTTTGTTTAATAAATTATTATTATTATTATTATTATTATTATTATCGACATCGAGCAGTCGCGTATATACGCTCTCTGTACATGTCCTTGGTTTCATCAAAAAATTTTACTTGAATTGATATGGTTACATTACATTTTGAATTTTATACCTAAAATTAATCAAGTATGATTCGTGCAAGCTTGCTTGCGTTATTTGCAACGCCAATAATATGTGGATTTTGTGGCAAGGAATTTGAATCGTTAGGGCGTCACTCGTGGCGGTGTAAAAGTAAACTTGGGAACGAACGAGAATCTACTTTGAATGTTAATCCTGCTATGGAAATGCCTACAAAAATGTGTCTACCCGCAAAGTCTTGCAAAGCAGTCAAATGTTGCTGTGGTAAAGTCTGCAAAGGAGCTCGTGGACTTAAATGCACAAACGAAGCTGTAGAGTTATTGACGACCTTGAAGACGAACTGCAACAATAATATCACCTTTGAACACCCAAGAAAACTTCCCCGACTTAAAAAGGGGGATAAAAATACCCAAATCGCCATTACAATGGTCAACTGCCAACGACTTTTTCAAGTTAACTTTTTTGTATCACCCAATCACACCGGATGATCTAAATAACAACATCAATACCATGGCAATCGTCGTCTACAATTACTTTAGTGGGAATTTTGGACATGTTGACAACAATAACAGTGTGGAATTCGAAAGAAAGTACCAAACATTTTCAACAAAGGATTTAAAAAAAGCTTTAAAGAAATTAAAACTGGAAAACGGTAGTATTCTGGAGATCAAATTTGTCGCGAAGAAATTGCGCATCCTCCTTAATAAGTCAAACAATACGGAACTACATAATTTTGATAGTCATGCATCTGCAGACATTGATCACGATAACGATAAGACATTGATCACGATAAGACATTGATCCGTGTTTTCCATATTTTTCTCTGACGTCAGACTCCGTGTTTTCCATATTATATGGTGGACTCCGTGTTTTCCATATGACTCCGTGTTTTCCATATTTTTCTCTGACGTCAGACTCCGTGTTTTCCATATGACTCCGTGTTTTCCATATTTTTATGACGTCAGACTCCGTGTTTTCCATATGACTCCGTGTTTTCCATATTTTTCTCTGACGTCAGACTCCGTGTTTTCCATATGACTCCATGTTTTCCATATTTTTATGACGTCAGACTCCGGGACTCCGACTCCGGGACTCCGACTCCGGAACTCCGACTCCGTGTTTTCCATCTAACCAAAATCAAATGCTCCTTAATCATTTTACAATCTGGTGTCAATGGGCTAATATGATTATACGCGTTGACAAATGTTCAACATTTGGCATTAAAAAACAGTTAACTAAGTCTATCCAGTATTTACCCAAGCTTTTCGTTAATAACCATCTTGTACCCAGAACCGAAATGGGCAAATCTTTCCGTTACTTAGGTCGCTATTTTGATTTCAATATGTCTGATGAGGAACACAAATCAGAATTACTCGACGTGTTTAATGACATCAAGAATAAAATTAATGAACTACCCTTACACCCGAAAAATAAAATTCTACTATACAGTCGTTACTTGCTGTCAAAGATATCCTGGGACTTCACTGTTTCTGATATATCTAAGACCTGGATCTGCGAAACGTTAGACAGTATTGCGACAAAATATATCCGAAAATGGCTGGAACTTCCTGTCTCTGCAACCCTTAGCAACGTGTTGCTTCCACAAAACAAATTTGGTCTGAATATTATTCTCCCTTCGACAAAATTTATCCAATGTCAAACTGTCTCTCGATCAGCTCTAAAATACTCACCAAACGTAGATATTAACAATCTATGGGGGCGGTGACGAGCACCAACAAGAACGTACAGAATGACATTTACAAAGACACAAAAGACGAACTTAAGGAGTTAGAAAAGAAAAGAAAACGAACAAACACTTCAAAACCACCTCATTTCGCAAAATTCTTTCTTTTCCAGTATCATGAATCATTCCACATCCACATTCAACTCTTTATGGTCATCCGTTCAGAGCAAACTTCCGAAAAACATTTTTAACTTCACCATCCGATATATCGATAACACACTTCCAACACGAAAGAACCTATCAAAATGGGGACTATCATCGACATCCGATTGCTTTTTCTGCTCCTCACCTGAAACGCTGCTCCATGTGATTGCTGGATGTAAGACATATTTATAGACGAAGGCCGGTTTACATGGCGACACGATTCTGTTTTAAATTTCCTCGCATCCACTCTTACTGCTGTGAAAAATTCCACACTTTACGCGGACATTCCTG